GAGTCAATAACATAAAATAAATATCATAATTTCATATGCAATTCAGTCAGCAACAATAACTTTCTCTTTTATCAGCCTACTGGTATCCATGGGGGTCCATTAGGGGATGTCCCTACTAAGCGTAAACCTTTTTTAAAAATATTTTTAATTAACGGGTCGTCTCCATACTCCGTCTGGTATGCGCGCTAAAATATCATCCCTCAATACTCCATCTGACATGAGGGTGAAACGGGTCGTCCCCATACCCCGTTCGGTATGAGTGCCAAAATACTAACTCTCGACACCCCGTCCGGTATGAGGAAACGTTCACGGTAAGGTTCCCTATGTACCTGGTCCGTCCATCATCTCTCAAGATATCCAGTAAGGCTATCGTTCATCCATTTACTTAATCAAATAATTTTCTGTTTATCTTTAATTTCCAGTTTTCCAGTTTAACTGTAATTATATAAAACAAGTAATACATGCATTAAGGAAACATAATCACATCATCATACAAATTCTAGTGTATTATTATGTATTCAAAACTGTAAAATCAACCAATCAGCTAAACATGACAAGCAGTAATAAATAATCGATTCTTGCTCCATCAGTGACCTGTAATTAATTATGGATATTTTTTAACTACACAAAATACTATATTATTATCAATTAAATTTCAGTTCTATAACAGAGAATAAGGTGAGAGATTCTTACACGAATTGTTGCTTGAATGCTAAACTTTTGCCTATGCCTATTTGTTGTCTCCGAGTTTTATGAATTTTTCTTCAGAGATTAAAACACGCTTTAAATACCTAGAAATACCCGAAAAAATTCAAAATTAGTGTTAGAAACCCTTTTTGGCCAATTTCAGAATTTCAGCACGGCGGCTTCGCCGTGCTCTAGTGATGGCACCACCGCTCGTGGTGACGGTTTGCCTTGGGTTAGCCGTTTTCAGCCGTTTTGTACCCATCCCTGCAATAAAATACGTTAAAAGGCCTCAATTGGCCGAAAAAAATCAAAAAATTGAAGCTTACTGGCGATGGAGTTTTTCGATGCGGCGGCTCTGCCTGCTCACCTTCGCAGTTGAGTATTTTGCTCTGGTTAACCTGTAGAGAAATGAATGGTGATTACAATGATAAAAAAATTACACAAAATGGGAATCGGGAAGGACCTCATTGGAGGCATTTTTGCTTTTTTCCGCCTTGATTTTTGGTCTTTTTTCTTCGGTGAATTGAAATTTTCATATAAAAATTGAGAAAAAAATGCTAACAAAGAAAAAAGGCAATCTTACTTCTTAGTTACTCTAAATAAAAGTTCCTCCGACTTCTCGCACTTGATGGAGTTTTTCCAGAACGGGATGATTTTCGAAGCCTTTAGCTCGTCTAGAAAACTATTAGTTTCAGATGGAGGAGGTACTTTCCCTTTTGCTATTTGTGGATGCTTTTATCGCTCTTGTTACTATTAGCATTCATCTTCAGATAAATCCACGCGAAGAGTACATGCTGATAGAAGCAGACGGAGAAGGTTTTATCAGATTTGGTAAAAAATTCGAGCTGAAATAAGATGAAAACAAATGATTCAATAGAGGAACTGACGAAATTAGTGAGAAAAGTAAAAGCAGCTCCGGAACCTTCGAGAGCGAAAATGAGAGAAAATTTAGAGAACTCGAAGTTGGATTTGAGGAAGATGATGCTTGTACCATTGATGAACAGTGAGAGGGTAATTAATTATACGGAGAAATTTAATTTATGCTTAATTACAAATGTGACCCCATATTTAAACTTTATTACACAAAATACCTTAATATTTAAAGTTTTAAAGAAATTAAAAATAAAAATAATATTACGTGTATATCACGTCAATATTAAAATTAATAATTTAAAGAAAAAAGAACGAGTTATTAATGGCAAAACTGATTTTAATAATTTTGAAAATAGAGGATGAATATTCATAAACGTGATTCATGTTTTCTTTTTTTTTTTTTTTTTGAGAATTTATCCATTTACTGTATCTTTTTTAGCACTCTGGATTTATTTTGGTAAAATATTTACTGATAATTTAAATTTAATTCATAAGATATTCTATTTGAAACTGCTATAGTTATTGAATATATAAAAAAAAATTTGTTGAAAAAATATAGACTTGATTAAAGTAATTTTTTTAAAAAAAATATATATTTAAAAATTTTAACAGTCTATTATAGAAATATTTTTTTTATTCTAATATATATTATTTTTTATATTTAGTAAAAAATAAAATAAAAAATTATAGGCTATGCCATGTGCTTCTTTCTGTTTTTTGAAAATATATAATTAATTACAATTATAATAAATTGCAGCTGTCTTAATTTTATTTTTAAAATTTAGAAATAAATTATGTGAAAAAAAGAATTTCCAGTGAAGATTGGCAAAAGCTGTACTTGTTGAATATAAATAATAAAACTTAACCATTCATGTTTTTGTAGTCATCATTAGTCTGTGTAGTTCTTATCATATATAAATAAAAAAAAATATTAATCACAATATACAATATACAACAAATGAAAATGTCATATACAATGTATAACATAATAATAAATTTGAGTATGTTTTTCTATAAAATTAAGTAAGAGTGTTATATAAATTAAAGTATTATTACTTAAAAAAAAATTGTTCTGGTTGTTATTAAATATATTATATAATAAACGTGGTTAATGACTATAAATTTAATTAATTAATTGTAAAGATGATTAATATTACTTTAGCTTAATGTGCTGATAACATATAGTCAAGCTTTATGCGTATGGTGATGATATCGCTAAGCAATATATATATATATATATGTGTGTGTGTGTGTGTGTGTGTGTGTGTATAAAAAGCTTATATATACATACTTAGAATGAGAAATAATAGACAATCATGGAAAGAAAGAGACGCTAGTAAGATATATTTTTATACTATATTATATTATATTTTTTTAATAGATAATAATGAAATAAAGAATTAAAAAACTTAAATTTCATTGAGTTAAAAAGTTAATAGGAATTAATCGATTCATAAATAAAATATAAAAAATATAAATAGCAATAACGATAACATACTTGGATTTCGAGTTATAATTACTACATTTTATATTCATAGTAGTGGTATAAGTAATATTAACTTGAACACGTTATACATCCCTGTTTATAAGATACTATCTATTAAATATATGAGGTACTACACTACCAAAAATTTTAATGCCATTCGAACTCCATCATCTACAGTACCGGTGATGGCCTCTTGTATCTATAAGTTCTCCCTTGCTATTTTTATACTCATTATTATAGTGATATAAAATAAGAGTGTGAATTGAGATGAGTCTCACGTACTCATTAAGAATAAAGTAGTAAATTTAACCACGTACTAAGAACACAAATTTTTTAGGTACAATACAATCGTAAAACAGTATTATAGCGAGAAAAGAAAATAAGAAAGCAATCAAGCTAGAAGCAAACATAATTAAAGGTATTCTTATTGAGACATTCCATTTATACATTTGTTACACAACAACATTTTTAGGCTTCACAAGAATTTCTACACTAATTCCAATAACATGACATAGCTTTCACGTCATTGTTGCGATATTCGCGACTCATCTTCCCCTTTTATTTTTGTTCAAAACACTCCATTTACTTATTTGTACTATTAGCTTGTTTTTTTCTATTCTTCTCAAAGATTCGTATATCGAAAGTGTTATATTTATTCGATCGTTTAAGTATAGATACGTTTTAATTTCTCTTATTTAATAATTATTGTAGAGGCCCAGAACCTTAAAGAAAATGAATTTATAATTTAAATACAGACACGAATAATATAATTAGGGTTTACATTCCTTACACAATAATTTAGAATGCCCAATAGGGCTATGAGAATGTCCCTACTAAAAGACAAATGGTAATTGAAGAAAAAAAGTGAATAAATAAGCATTCTAAAACAACATTCACTAGCACTTCAAGGGAGTCCGGGTGGTGAACTACTCACAACTCTTTTGCTAATCGGAATTTAGATCTTGGTTTTTTTGATCTGAAATGGTCAATAAATAGGTGAGCTACACTAGCACAGTAAGAATATGTAATACATAGGTCCAGAATTTGGTATGGAATTAATTTTAAAATTCTAAAAATATATAAGAATCAATTTTTAAAATTAATAAATTTTAATTTATTGTTAAATTATGGAAAAAAAAATAGGTTGAGGATGAAATTGAAAATAATTGGAAAAAAGAGGTGAAAATTTGGGTTCGGATGGTATTTTTGAAAGAAAAATCGAAAATTGGGGATCAGAACGCAATTAAGGTAAATTTTACCACGTAGGATCACCCAGTTAGCAGTCTTGACGAATTGAAATGTGCCGCGTGGCAAGGCACACTGATTCGGTGTCACGCAGGAGACCACACTACCAATCTGCATGTTTTGCGATGGGACAACCCAGAAGTGTTACTGCGCGCGTGGACAGTCCGGATCCATTCCCTCCTCATAGCGCGATCAGACGGTCACGATCAAATGTGATGAATAGTTCAGATTCGTTTTTTCTTTAAATGCGATCGGATGGTCGAGATCAAATCGCGATGAACGATCCAGATTTATTTATTCTTTAAACGCGATCGGACGATCGAGATCAAAGGCGATGAACGGTCCAGATTAACACGAGAGGGGTATAAATATTTTGCATCATAC